ACTGCTGCAGCTCCAGCTCACTTGCTGACAGGTCTGTGCTGTCCCTCCAGTCTGATGGACCAACTTCAATTTCCTACAAATAGTCTGATCCCAAATGATCCCCACAAAATCCTGCCCTTGCTTCACGTTCCCATTACATTTTTTACCCCCTTTTGCCCATCCTGGGCCATCTGCACATCAGTGCAGTCCTGCTCTGTCCTCCAGTCCTGCCAAGCCTCTGGGACCTCCCCAGCCTTGGCTGTTCTCCTCTGCCTGGGCTCCACACTGCTCACCCTCTGCCTGGTGGTCAGCTCTACTCCCCTGATGCTGCTGCTTTTCCCAGTATCCTTTGCCTCCAGCCATTCTTGGAAATCTTTGTGCTCATTTCATGCTGTCCTCAGACTTGGAATGAGACAAACTCCTGTGTTATTCTCCCAGCTACTTCTGTGCATGTTCTTGTAAAAGATTATTATAAAAGTAAAATTGTTTATAAAAATGTTCCTCTGTAAGAGAGCTTGGGATTGGAAGCTTTGTATAATATTTACCCTTTTCCTTGTTGTTGTCACATTTCTTTCTCTGTCCCACTGGCCCACAGTGGTGGCTTCATTTTTCTCTCTAGGAAGCTTATTGCATGCTCTGTACTGCATGTGATCTTGTTAATTTTCTCCCAGACATTTCTATGCTGTTATACCTGTATGTCACTTTTTAAGCTCTCAGCTCTTAGCACATGATGGTCACCACTAAATTAGCTCTCAGAGCAACCTGTGAGGTGAGAAAATGTACTTTCACTGGTGAGGAAGTCACATGGCAGTGACACTGCGAGGATGCCACAGCAGAGGGGCTCAGCCTTTCAGAGCCATCTGCTCTGTTCTGTGACCTTCTGTGTGACTCTGCAGGGCTGGGGTTTCCTCAAGGCTGACTCACAGTCCCTGACTGTGAGATGATAAGCATACAGCTGCTTCCTGCCTCATCTTTGCTGAAGAAGACTTTAGCATCCATAGGCATTTTGCCTCAGCAGTAGCAATAAAATCCAATTTCTGAGAGCAGTCTCGGCCATCAGGCCCTGGTGTCCTTACCTGAGAGCTGGCAGTTCATGTGCCACTTTACTTCAGCAACAAGAGGAGAGCAGGGTAAAACCAAGCAGCCCTAGATGCCAGTCCCTAAAGACACTGCAGGGCTGTTTTCTCCCTGCTCTTCCTCACTGACCTTGCAGACCCTCTCTCCTGCTGTGACCCCAGGCTGTTCCCCACAGCCACCCCTTTCATCCTGCAAATCCCCCCCACACCCCGAGCTCACAGGAATCTGTGCAGGGGATGCTCAGAGAACTGGTCTGCTGCCTAAAGACTTGGAAACTAAAAGCAGCACCTAATCCCTGACTTACTTACAGATTTTATTATTTAATTAAAAAATCTTGTTTATTTTAAAGAGCAACTCAAACCACATGCTCAGTGGGTTGTCAGGAATGAAATTCCTGGGGCACTACATGATACTCTTGGTTTAAGATTCTTCCATTTGGGAGTCTTTGTGTATTCCTAATAGAATTGTCAGTTGAACTTACTGAGAAGAGCTGAACTAAACCTCTTGCTCAATGAGTGGGATAGTGGGCTGGGAGAAACACCTCAGGGCTCACATGTTTTCCATCTTTGGAGATTGTGTTAGTGTGCTCTGGATTTCTGAAATCCTTATGCAACTCTTTGGGTCCCTGCAGAAAGTGAGCAACCTCAGTGAGCCTTCAGCCTGTCACTATCCATGTTGGCAGGTCCTGAACTAAACTTCCCCTTAGCCATCAATGCCCAGCTCCCAGTGCTGAACAAGGTTGGGTCTCTTGTTTTTTCTGCTGGACACTGGGGGCTGAAAGCAACCTCAAACAGCTGCTTGGTCCAGACTAAGACCCTGCCCTGGGAGAAAACTTGTCCCTGAATGACATGAAACACTTTAATAAAGAGGGATGGGAGGCTAAAACGAGAATCAGAATAGTTTTTACCCAAGGATGTGGATTTGGTGCCACAGTCCACCTCACTAATTTGTCCTCATGTCAAGAACCCTGAGGAGACAGGAGATTATTGCCCTGTTACAGTAAGAGGTACTCAGACTTCACCTCCAGCTCCGAGTCACTTGTTCCCTCCTGGAAGAGGCTCTTTTCATCAAGCATGCAAAAAGCTCTATATTCCCTACCAGTGTGCTGTTTGAGCTCTGTCATCCACTGCTCTGCATTCCTTTGTTTCCCAAATGGCAGAACCAAGAAACAGCCAGCACAAAGTCAGGGACAGATTCAGGAAAAATGTTCATTCCCAGTGGTGGGATTCACTGCAGGAAGGCAAGCTGTCCTGGCCTGGCCCAGCAGCCATCTCTGATTGCACTTCTCCAATGTAGCCTAGCATAAACCCTGGGAACTGGCCTTTGAAGTCAACACTCCCCGGGGGGACAGCCTGGTGGGGAGGGTGAGAATGGTGAGACTTTAACAGTCAGAAAACGTCTGCAGCCCTGGGAAGCTCAGCTCTAGCCAGACAATCTGATGCAAAAATCCTTTTCAGTGATGGCACAGCAGATTTCTGAAGTATGTTTACATCCCAAAGGATTTGGTTTCCCTTCTTGCATGTTTTAAATTTGGTAACTGGCCCTTTTTTACAGAAGCAGTTGTTACTTTTGCTTCTTATAAATCCTAAGGAGGCAGCTGCTGTATAATGGGTGGTCTCCCAGTTCCCAGCCTTCTTTAGCAGAAAAAAAATCCAATACAATTTAATAAGTTTGCATTTCCAATGTGTTTAAAGGGGCTTCAGCGTTCCCTCTGGCCTAGGGCAGAACAACCCATCTTTGCTGTGAGAGAAGCACCATCATTCACTCTTCCAGGGAGGGTGAATCCCTGTTTGCTGCTCCTGGAATGGGACTTGGTTGTTTACACCCTCTTTTGCTCCTTATTATAAGGAAACTCCATTAGTGACTAAACCCTAATGCTGAAACTAAGTGGCAAGAAGGATATGGGACAAAACATTGTTATCAGATTTTGTCAGCCCCAGCACTGGTAAGGTGCCACACTTTGATTAAGCATTTTGCATTATAATTGAGCTCATTGCAGCAGAGACCCATCTAAAGGGAGCCAGGTAATGGGACATAAATCCAGTTGTGGTTTTGCTATATATAATGGCCCTAAATTCCCCAGGCATCACTTCCAAGGAAGTGGCAGGTCCCTGACTGGAAGTGAGTGAGCCATGCACAGGGAGCCACATGTGACACACCAAGAGCCAGCTCAGTGTATTTTCTGTTGAGTTTCAGTCTCTGGAGAGGCTGGAGGGAAAGGTGTCAAGGCTAGAGGCCAGTGTGAACGTGCTGGGAATTTGGGTGAGAATCTGCTTTTCAGACTTTGGGAAATGTGCTTGATGTAAAGGTCTTAATGCATTGCATTGAAATGTGCACCTGCCATCTCCAAGCTTCTTTTTAAAGCTGTTTTTCACCCAGAACCATGCTCCCTGTCACCAGGCTTTGTGCATGTGTTGCCTCACAGCCCATAATCCAGGGGTCTCTTCGAGCACTGAAGTAGCAGTGCTTCTTCCCTCTTTTTCCAGCTTTCTAACATGCTGTCTGGGTCTTCTGCAGAGGTGACTCAGTTTTTTAGGAAGCCCTCGTGTCCTTCCTTACTGTGGTGAGTAACTAACAGCTTTCATTTCGGAAAAACACCTCCCAGGGACTTTGGTGGGTGAGTCCATCCCCTGCTGCAAGGGGCTGAGCCTGAGCCTCAGTCTCCGTGCTCAGAGCTACAGCCATGGAGCTCCTAGGAGGCCAAAAGCCATGCAGACCCCAAACAGAAAGTCTGATGTTCCTTACTATTTCTTTTCTTCCCACTTGTCCACATGTCATTTCCTTACAGGCAGTGGTTCTGAGACATTTAGGGAAACAAAGAAAAACCACAATCAACATGCCTGCTGGCAGCATCCTGTTCCCAGACCCAGCAGGTCCCAGCCATATCAGTGGATGTGAAATAAACAGTCTCTGTGTGTGCTCTGTGTTCTCATGCAAACTCTGGGAGCAGTTGCACTGCAATTAATGAACTATTCCAATTTCCCCTCTAAGGGAATACATGAGCAATATTTATCTGAGTTAAATGTTATCTGAGTTATATGAGGTCAAGTTATCTGAGCAATAACCCAATAAAACAGGTAGGAGCCTTCCTAGCAAACACCAGTGCTAGCTACTGGCAGGCTGTGCAGGAAACACCACCCCTTTTCCACTGCAAGGAAAAGGTGTTTTTCAGATCTCTTGAGGGAAGCACGTTTCTCTAACAGAACCTGTTGCTGTCAGCAGCAAGAGGCTGCCTTAATGCCCATGTGTTTTTCATGTAGCTGTACCTTGGTAGAAGCAGTTGAGGGGTTTGTTTCCTGTTTGCTTTTTGTTTCTTCCTTGGTTTTGTCTTTGGGAATACAGGGGGCAGAATGGGGCATTTTGGTGCTAATAAGCCCAGGAAGTCACAGTGTAGGAATGATGAAGTAACTATTGTGCTAACTGACAGGTTGTTTCGGGACTTTACTTCACATGGACCCAGTGTTCCCACTTGAGTGCTCCTGTCCAGTTGACTAGCTTATGCCTTTGTTGGGAATGGCATTTGGGAAGCTAGAGATTAGTTGTTTTGTTCCTAGTATGTGGAAAGCCCTCTTCTGTGCTCCAAGCATCCTTCTCCATGTCTTAGGACTCCTTGCTGTCCCTTTTAGTCCACAGCATTTGTGGGCAGCTGCAGTTCTCTCTATCCCATAACTATTTGCCCAGAGGAAGACCAGTCTCACACATATCTGGTCCTGGCTGCTCTTTCCTCCTGCAGACTCTCCTTTTTTCCCCTCTAATTGTTCCTTCTCACTCCAGCAGAGGAAGGTGCCCCTCTGTGCCCTCACACCCTGCACTGCTGCCACTACATTTCTCCAGCTGCTAAACTTCAAGTTGCAGGGGTCCCAAGGAGGCATTTTCATGTGGTTCCTCCATTCTGATATTCCTGGATTTTAATAGTGTCTTTTTTTCTTCCCTCCCTACCACAGGGACATCCTGAAAAGTGGAGGCTCTGCTGTGGATGCTGCCATTGCTGGCTTGATCTGCACTTCAGTGATGAACCCTCAGAGTTCGGGCCTGGGTGGTGGGGTCATATTTACCATCTATAATGCCAGCACAGGTATGGGCCTGCCCTGGCCTCTCCATGGTACCTCGTCCCTCTGCAAACACACAACTGCTGTGCAGAAATCAGAATACTTCCTGTTCTCTCAGAGCAATATTTTGAATATAAAAGCTACATCACAAACCACACTTGTGCTCTTAATCCAAAGCATCCACCACAGGGTTCTGTGATTGTCATTTCACAGCAAGAACGTGTGTGGAGGAAAGAGCTTTGATATAAAATGAACTCAGTTTGCTTCTCCTTCCGCCTCTAAAGCAATCCCAAAGTACATTTTAAAGTTGCACAGCTGATTGCAGCCAGGTGTGAGTGGCTGAGTGAAGCAGGCAGGAGGGGAATGCAGTGTGTGCTGCCAGTGTTGTATTGCCAGTGCCTCAGCTGAGCCCTCAGGATGGCACTTGAGGGGCTTGTGCTGCCTGCCTCTGGCAGTGCCTGCTGACACTGGGGCTGTGTCACACTTCTGTCCCTGTGCTGGTGTGACTTCCCAAAGCAATGCTGAACCTTCCTGTCCCAGGAGATGCATCTCCAGAAATCTAAACCTAGCAATGTTCAGTGTCTGCTGGGGAGCCTTTTTGTGTTTGGCTTATGCTCTAGTTTTGTTTCCTTGCTTTTGTGTCTTCAATGTGGGAGTTTCTAAGTCTTGGCTTCCAAAAACCCCCAGAGCTTATCTATCTAATAGTAATATCAACAATGAACACTAACAATATCATAGTTTTAAAAACCCCTGCCAAATAGTTTCTCAGAGTCACAAATCTGGAAATGGTTGGCTTTATCTTATGCAAGAGCTTAATTTGGCAGAACACCTATATTTTTCTTATTTTTCCTTTTGCCAGAGCCATGCAACTTCGTTTCCTGACAGCAATCCTTCTCTGCTACCTGAGTTATGCTGCTGCACAGAGCTGCCCGTGGCTGTGCACAGCTCAGGAACTTGATGCAGCACTGTGGGCTCCTGCAGCACAGCTGGCTCTGTGGACAGATAAATTCAGGGCAGAGAAGGAGGCTGCTGAAAATACTGAAATACTAGTGCATGCAAGTAGGGGTTTGGGTTTGTTTTTGTCCTTTTAAGCTCCCTGATACATTGAGGGCTTTAAATATGAAAATTTAAATATGATATAATATTAAAATTTAAGTATGATAGACTTGTTTAATCATCATTTGGTAAATGGCCCTCCCAGGAGCATGGGGCTCACATTATGTCTCTGACATGTCACATCTGCCAAAGAAGTGCAGGAACCTGCAGGTGTGAGGCAGCATCTCCCAGCCCATGAGCCCTGGGGGGAACATTCTCTGGCTGGAGACAAGCCCTGGCCTTCTCCCTGTCTTTTCAGTACCTTTAGGTAGGCACTGCTTGGTTTGCTCTAAACAAAAGCACAGGAGTCAAGGACAATGTGCTGACACCTGACCCTGCAGGTGCATTTGGCAAAAGGCTGCAGAGCAGCTCAGCTCTGGGCCAGCAGCATATGCAGTGCTACAGCTGACTGAAGTGTGATGTTCACCTGTTTCAGGAAAACAACATTATGCATTTCCCTCTTCTTCTTTCTAGGAGCAGTCGAGGTGATCAACGCCCGTGAGACAGTCCCACGAGTGTTTGCTCACAACTTATTGTCTGGCTGTGGTGCTGGTTTCCCCTTTGGTAAGGACACAATCTGTGCCACAGCTGTGTGCCCTCCTGGTGTGCACAGAGCTCAAGGTGGGGAACTGAGCACCTCACTGACTTGATCTGGAGTTCTGTTTACTTTAACACACTCTACCTGGATTGCCTTTTGCAAAAATAACTAAAAATACTAGGTCCATAAAAATTCCTGTTTGGTAATAATACTGGCAACCCAACTGAGCAGCAGGACAATGGGGAGCCAGCATGAGGAGAAATCACAATGTAACTTCTCTCTGTAGGAAGCCTGCAGTTCAAGACTGGATTTCTCAAAGCTCTCATTCCCCAGAAGTTCTTACAGATAAAAATAAGATCAATAGCTTTCTGGAAACAGAAGAAATAAAATTCACAATCTCACACAATGGTGTGTCTGCTTGTGTCCATAGATTGGGGAAGCACACTGGCACATCAGGGGCTGAGTTGCTGGGCTCAGGCACTCTTGCTTTAGCAGCACATCTTACATCTGTCACAGTATTGTCACAGTACAGCTGGTCTGGACTGGACAAGGTAAATCTGACCATAACACAAATCCAATTCAAATTTCCTGGGCTAGACAGCCACTGGCTGATACTTCTCTCCCTGCCCAGCATCCACTTGTGTGCTTTCTTCTCATCTTGCATGGGTTTGGCAGAGGTTCTCTATAACTTATCCAGGAACATGTTCAGACATGAACTAGGCTAGCTGAATTGGATTTGTGTTATGGTCAGATTTACTTTGTCCAGTCCAGGCTAGCTGTACTGTAACAATATCTTTCCCCGTTTTTGCTGTATTCATTCTCCTTCCCTAGAATGTTATCTTCTGGGGTGTGTCCTAGATCCTGGAGGTGTTCTTATCCTGAAAGCCTGAAAAGGAATCAGGAGCTACTCTGGTTGGAAGGGACAGCTGGAGGTCACATTTTTTAATTTCTCCAGGGATGGAGAATTTCACTGCTTCCCTTGTTCTGGTGTTTGACCCAGGGGCCCCATGAGCACCATTTCTCCAGCACCCAGCTGGCACCTCCCTTGCTGCAGCATGTGCCTGTTGCTTTCAGCACACCTCAGGCCTGGCTCCAGCCTCTCTATACCCCTGCTGTTCAGTAACAGGGAAAGGTAATAAACAAACCAAGTCTGCTTTTAGAAGTCTTGGTTACCTCTACCAACTGAGACTTTGGAGAGCTTTCAGAGAGGTGGAACCCCCAAGCCAGTGACGTACTGGGTGTGACACTGCTGTTGTGCTCCTCAGGTCCCCGCTGGATTGGCGTGCCCGGAGAACTCCGTGGGTATGAGGAAGCCCATAAACGACACGGCCGCTTACCATGGAAAGCCCTGTTTGAACCAACCATCAAGCTTCTTTCGGAGCCACTTGTCATTTCTCCAGTTCTGGACAAAATTCTCCATCACCCAGCCTTCGCTGGTCTGGGGAAAAGCCTGTGGTATGACCCAGGAATGAAACTGCACTGTGAGGGTCACTGTTCCCTCAACTTCAGCCCCTTTCTCTGACATGCTGACATGGAGCACAGGCTGCTGCTGTGGTTTGTTCTAAGGGAATACTTGCTGTAGAGTGGGAGACAATCAAAGAAGTGGGTTTTTAAAAGAGGCTGCAGTGTAGCACTGCCTTGGAAATATACAACATGCATAGTCCAGATCAGCTTATGGTAGGAAAAAGAGGCCATTTGCCCTGGGCAAGAATAGGCTCATGCTGTAAAATGGATAAATGTTCTTCTTTAACAGCCCACTGCTATGATAAATGTTCTTCTTTAACAGCCCTCTGCTATGTGATGGTCAAAGATTACTGAAGCGTGGCGAGACCTACCGGTGGGAAGCGCTGCAGCAAACACTGCAAGCTGTAGCAGAACACGGAGCTGCAGCGTTTTATGAGGGAGAGATAGGAAGGGCCCTGGTGGAGGACGTCAGGAAGGCTGGTAGGTAACAGCTACAGGTAGTCCTGATACACACAGGCCCTGCTCACAGTGAGCCTGTACCATGGGAAAGCCAACACATGCCATTTACTTGTCAATTGGAGTGTTGGGGGGCCACCTTTCCCCAGTTCCTATAACTCAGGTCCAGACACAGAACCACCCACTGCTCTGGCCTTTGCCCACTGTGCTCATGCATTGGCCCCTCTGACTCCTTTAGGCTTTGTGACATCCTGAGGCTTGGCAGCACATGGGCATGTGTGATGGCAGTGCTGTGCTGGGCGGGAGGAGTTTGGGCTGTATGGGGATGGATCCTCCCAAGCTTTACCAAGGCTCTGATGCAGGCAGCCCACAGCAGCAGTACAAGTTGCTGTGCTAATGGCAGCTCCTGGCTCTCTGTTGAAGGGTCCAGCCTCTCACTGGAGGACCTTCGGGCATACAAAGCAGAGGTGTCCTCAGCTCTGAACATCACCCTGAACAACCACACCAAGGTATTCGCTCCAGGACCACCCATGGGAGGTGCAGTGCTCATGTTCATCCTCAAGGTATTGGAAGGTAAACTCCTAATGGAAAACGGTCAGCAAGAGGTTTTCAGAGAGTTTTGCTCTCGGAAAAGTGAGTGAGATAAAAAAAAGTGAGAGTGATAAAATGCAATGGGCAGAAATGGAGTTTTTGAGCCAGAATGGGGTCCAAAGCAGCAGTGTGACCATGCTATGCAGCAGGAGGATGAACTAGTTCACTTGTACAGTGGATCAGCATCACCACAGTTTCTGCAAAAGCCAAAGGATGCATGACTTCCCAATGCTTCAAAAGAAACTGAAGTCACAGTGGAAATTAGTACTTGGTTGTTTCTGCATCCACATCCTACTGAAGCATAGGGGAAACCTGGTAAGAACTGGGGTGGGAAGAGGAGGCTCCTTTCAACATTTTTTTTTTTTTTACATTTTTTGAAAAAACATTGCCTTGGGTCTATTAACAAAATAATTTCATCCTGCTCCATAGAGTATAAATTCCATAAAGCATCACTGGCAACACCTGAGGAGGAGGTAGAAACCTATCACTACATTGCAGAGGCCCTGAAGTTTGGCAACATGCTAAGACCCCGCATGACTGACCCAGCCTTCTCTGAAACTCAGGTGAGCTCCATGGTGTGTTGGTGCAGTGCTACAGCATCAAGCAATGCTCTGACATGCTCCCTCTTTGCAACCTGGAAGGAAAGAAAATACTTAGAGCTGCTGCTAGAGAGCAATGCAGCTGAGTTGGTGAAGGCAGAGGTGGGATCAGGCTGTTTACTCTGCAGCTTCACTCGCTTGACAGAGGATGTGCACATGCTCCTGCTAATGTTGAGGTGCCTCAGTGCTGAGCTTGGTCCATTTTCTGGGATGAGAGTGGCATGGGGCTGAATGCTGCCACTCCAGGGCCCCAAGCTCTGACTACTGGAGCTCAGTTCCTGAGGCCTCCGTGTGCCCAAAGCCATACCTGTGCTTTGGTGACCAGCTCAGTGTCCTTGCTGTGCTTGCAGGTGCCTGTGGGGACCCTGTTGTCTGAGCAGTTTGCAGAGTTTGTGAGGCAGCGGATAGATGCTCGTGGTGACCACTCACTCAGCCACTACAACCTGCTGGAGTCCCTCTACAACGACAGATACAAAAGTAGGGGCACGAGCCACATCTCTGTGCTCGCTGCAGACGGCAGCGCCGTGTCTGCCACCAGCACCATCAACTACCTGTGAGTGACCCCTGTCAGGTTCACAGGGGAGCTGCAAGGGCTGGCTACCAGCAAAGCCAAACCCCTGGGTTTCATTGGTTTTGGCAGCTTCTGAGCTGTGGATGCCTTTTTCATGTGACAGCAAAGATTTGTGAGCATCAACTCCAAGGGTTGTCATAATTCAGGAGGATGCGAGAATTTGCTGAGGCTCTGGTTGAATTTCTGTGGATTGAGCAAATCCCCACAGGCACCAGTGACAGGGAACTTATCTCTGTCACCAGCAGCAGCACAAATTCCTTTTGGACACCTTCACTGGGACACTTGCAGGCTGGGAGGAGATAGAAGCTCCTCACAGGGTGCCATGTGCAGTTAATGTCATCCACAGCAGGAGAACCCTGGGCACTAAAAGGCTTCATCTTTGCTCCCTGCAGGTTTGGCTCCCTTGTGTATTCTAACCAAACTGGGATCATTTTAAATAATGAACTTGCTGACTTCTGCATATCAAACAAAAGCATTAAAGCAGGTGAGCATCCTCATCCTTAGAATAAAGCACAGGGCCAGGGGATGGTTACACAGGCTGTGTACAAGTGGGCAGGGACAACCTGTAAACTTACAGGTACTCTTTCCTAGATCTGGATGAGAGCAAGTTTATTTCAGACTAAAAGAGAATAAAGCTCTGTAGTGTATCTGTGTCTACTCACATATCTCCTTGTATGGAAACATGGGAGTTTGGGGTTATAACCAGGGAAATCAGAGGTTAAAAAAAATGCTGAAGCTGATCAGTGGCTGGCAGGAAGGGGAGGGAAGAAGTGAAGAAACTATGCTAAGACAAGCCTGATGATATTTTAGGCTCATCTATGACTCTGAGTGTAGAGCTGCTTCAGGCTTGCACCGAGCTGTGACACAGCAGTGTTGCTGCAGACATGGCTCTGTGCCATAAGCTGTCCCTGCTACATCCCCCTCAGCCTGCTGGGAGAGGACACCCAGTGTGCTGCTGTGGCAGGATTTCTGCTAAGTGTTCCTCATCTGGTTGGGTGAGCTGCAGCAAGTCCTGAATACTTGTAGGATGCCCTGTCCTGCATCAAGAGAAGCCTGTTCAGCTTGTGCCATAAAGGTCTCAGCTTTCTGGGAGACAGGCTTTCAGTACAAGGACATTTTTCTATAAGTCTTGAGTATCTTGAGGAGGAGCAGCAACTTGTTTTTCTGTGAGAGACAAAAAAAAGTCAAGGTAGATGAACCTGTGCCACTCCTACCCTGTTTAGAGCCACATGGAAAGAATAGTATCTCTGCTTCTGCTCTAGGAGAGAAGCCTCCCTCAGCAATGGTGCCTTCCATCCTTATCTCCAAGTCAGGAGACATGCTGGTGATTGGAGGAGCTGGAGGGGGCTGGATTGTCAGTGCTACCACCATGGTAAGTGAAAACCACAGCAAGTTGCCAGGACTTTCAGCCCTCTCAGATTTCTAGCCATGGTCAGTCTCTACTCAGCTCCCCTCAGATCTTGACTCCTTGGTGCTTTTTTTAATTTGTAGTTTAGAAGTCACTAAAGGCTGCGGGCTGTAGGCCAGGAAAAGCATTCTGGGAAGCATTAGGTGCTAATCCTATTTTTCAATTACCCCTCACATCTAGTATTGGTCACCATGAAAGCAGGACACCAGGCTGACAGGACTGTGGTTCTGGCTCAGTGCAGCCTGCGTTGGACAGCCCAGGTTTTATGTCCAGTTGGGCAGTGTGGAATTTGTTTCATTGCAGGCGATTATAAACAAGCTGTGGTTTGGCTACGACTTGGAACATGCCATTTCAGCTCCTGTCATGCATACCCAGGGTGACAGTGTCCTATTTGAGGAGTCTTTCAGCAAGGTGAGTGGTCTTGGTGGGAAGCAGATTGCTTCTGTAACTCTCCTGGGTAATCTTTTTTTTGCCTGGCTTCTTGTTTAAACCTCACTTTCTCAGTCAGACTCCACACACACATCCTACAGTTTCCCACCTGGCAACGTTAAGATCTCAGGCCCCTGCCCCATTCACTCCATTTCCTCTTCTCTCCCCCCACAGGAGGTTAGGACTGGCCTGCTGGGAAGAGGACATAACGAAAAGAAAGATAAATTTGCAATGAATGTTGTACAGGGAATTTCCAAGGAAGGAAAATGCATCTCTGCTTACTCTGATAAAAGGAAGCTGGGGAAGTCAGCTGGATATTAGCGTGAAATGCCATCACAATCCACAGAGCCACAGGAGATTCAGAACACGCTTTGCTTGGACATGCCCATAATTTCCTGTTCCCATCAGGATGTCTCCTGGAGCATGGGCACAGTCTGTGATTACATCTAATTCCAGCAGACTGCAGGTCTACAAGGGGAGGTCAGCTAACCTTGTTTAGAGATACACCTTTCATTACTTATGTGATACACAGAGAACATATTTCTTGAGCACATCAGTTACTCAGAATGAGAGAATACAAAGTGTGAAAGGAAAATTGGTCCAAACCCCACTGAGAACACTGTGAAATGGCCCAGCTGTATCTTCCATTCCTGATGGAGTCTTTGTTTTCCCTCCTCCTGGGATGAACAGGCTTCAGCTGAGCTCCCTGGAGGTGCCTCTCCCTGTGGTGAGATGGCTCCCAGTCTGTGCCAGGTCTCCCTCCTCAACACCAGTACATCAGTCTTTGGGAAGGCAGGTCAGGAAGGCATGGAAATGTTTTTGGAAACTTTAGAACTTTCTTCAAATTGCAAAGTGCACGTGATCAGGAGATGTCATTTGTAGCCCTGAGCTCAGCCTGACCAGGACACCAGGACTGCTGAGAAGTGATGCAGCACAATCAGGCATTAGCAGAATTCTCCCATATCCTTCATGCTCCAAATTCCTGTTTACCACAGCTAGTTTCTAGTGTTCCCTTCAGACCACAAGGAGGGCATTGTAGGACTCTAAGAACTATCACAGAAAGAGAAAACTTTTGGAGAAGAGACCTGAACGCAAAAGGTCCTTGATTTTTCACCTGGATGCAAAGGGTCTTTTGCAGTTTATCCATAATCTCACCCTGTTCAAAATGGACAAGAGAATCAAACATTTAGGAAGGAAAAATCTAAAACCCCCAAAGCTCTTCAAATATGCTGGGTCAAATTCCCAGAATCCTCCAAAATTCCATTTTCTGAAAGCTTCTGAGCCTGACTGCCCTATGGGCACAGTGTTGTGTGTATGTCTGAAAGAGAAACCAGAGCCAGGCACTAGCAGAGCCCCCCGCCTAGAGCCACAGGGCTTCTAATTCTCCAACAAATAGAATCCCTCTGTAAACATCATAACAAGCACACACTATTAAAAAACACACATTTAAACAAGGCCAGCTAGATTTTATGCCAATGTTTTTACCCACAAAGCCTGTCCAATAAAGCCATCAATTTACTGAAATCTCAGCCTTCACTTGCATTTTAGTGATGGTCCCAGTGAAGCTGACCAGGGCCAGATGTGTTTTCCTTCAGAAGCAGCCCCTGCTGTATCAGTGAATGATTGCTGAGTTACCAGATCGTAAGCACAAGCCCTTAATTGTGCAGCTGGAAATCAAATTACTCATGGATTTACTCCATGCACTGCTCTGCTCCCTTCTTGTCCAAGTGGAGCTCATCTTAAAGCTCCCAACTCAGGAAGAACTGCTGTTTTCTCCATCAGAGCTGCTCACTCACACTGTGGAAGTGGCCTGGCACCCTGTGAGGCAGCATCACAGTCCTGGCAAATGGGAAAGGAAACAGCCCCACAAGCTGAAGAGGGGCAGTTTTTATGTTCATTTGGAAGGGGTTACATTGACTATGACTACCAAAGAAACCAAATCTATCTAACTTGCTGAAGTTTTCTCCCTTGATGAAGTCCCTTGCCCCAGCTAGCAGTTCCTGGGTGCATGAGTTCTGGTGCCAGAATGCCACCAGGCAGAGCTGTGCAGGGAAGTACGGCCAGACCCCATCTGCAGCTCCCACCACAGCACCAGGCATGCAGACCACACTGAATGCTGGCTCTGGCAAGATCCGTGGTTCTTTCTAGCTAACCCCACTGAGCTGAGAGTTTACAATCAGCAACTGAGAGTGGCACTGGCTGGAGACAGAGCACTCCTGGCTTCTCTATTAGGCTTCAGGGCCACCTTCAGTAGTGCTCTGCTCCCTCTCCATCATTTCACTACAGAAAACCCAAGTCACCAAGTAACTAAACCTCCCATTACCTTTGCTTCTGACACACCTTAGGGTGAAGCACCCTGCAGTACTCCAGCCTCTCACCTTTCCAGTGCAGTAGTATCACAGCTACTTCCCACCACATAGACATGGGAATATTATCTTTAGTCCAGTACTCACAGCAGTTTAACTGCTTAGTATTAACTTTGCAAGTGAGCCAGTGGTTTAAAAACCTGTCAGAGATTTAATTTGCAAGTCAGAAGGGAATGGGAGTGCAGATCTCTCAGTGTGCTGGAGACTTCCAGTCCTGCAGTCCTTCCTAACAGAATACCTGGTGAAGCTGAGATTGTACCTGCTGTGGCACCTCTGCTCTTGCCCTGCCACCTCCTCACTGCTGAAATCTGCTTGGGTCAGGAGCCTCTCAGTTTTGTCTCTCCATACTCCTGCTCCTCCTAACAAGAGAGCATTATTTTTGTACTGAAATCAACTTACATGGACTTTTAAAGCGTCATTGTACAGAGGCTGCTCTATTTTCTAATGAAGTCTTTAAATTATACTTTTAATAAAGTGTTTTTAAACCTGCCTGGGAGTTTCTCCTCTAAACCTGTTGCCTATCCCATCACACAAGCACAGAGGACTCCATTCAGGTGTTTCCAGCAGTAACAGTTGTTCATTCTGGAGCCTCATATGCTGCTGGAGAAGCTGAGGAATGGTGCAGCTCATGCCACTTGTCTCTCACAGCTGAGTTTTGTTCCCTTGCAGATGATTGCCAAAAGAAAATTGTGGTAATGTCAGACTGAAGAATAGGGGCAAGAGGTGAACCCTCCAGCTCATGATCTGAATTGCCTTTTAATGGTACAGCTTCCTTTCACATCAGCTGGAATCAGTCATGGAATGTGTGCTGTTCTCCATGCCCTGCACTGGGGCAGGCAGCCCACACCAGCACACTGTGCACAGCCAGGAGCAGAGCCAGCTGGTTGCATTCCAAAGGTGGGACATGGAACAATGAGGGACCTCAGAGACCATCTGTCATGGGCAGGGATGTCACTCCCTAGACCCAGTTGCTCCAAGTGCCATCCAGCCTGACCCTGAACATTTCCAAGCATGGGGCAGCCACAGTTTCTCTGGGTTTAACCCCTGCCAGGGCCTCACCACTGTCACAGTCAAGAATATCATCTTAATATGTAACATAAATGTACCCTCTCAGTTCAAAGCCATTACCTCTTGTCCTATCCAGAAGACTTTTCCCTGCAGCTGAAACATCCCATAAGCTGAGCAGCCTGGAGGATACAGTCAGAGGTTTTACAGCAGGAACCACTGACTGACATCTGGTTGTTGATGCCCAGACAGCCCCATCGTAGGGTGAGTAGTGCGATGTGGTATCCAAGCAGGTGGCAGAAGTGCCTGCTCCATGTACAGGTATGTCCAAATGATAATTACAGCTTGCAGAAGTATCCATAGCTTTTTTAAAAAACATAGGATATAAGTGCAAGCTGTAGCCCAGTTTAACAAATCATTCCTCTGCAGTAATACTGCTAAAAAACAACCAAACAAATCAACTTCTGCAGAGTCAAGAATTCAAATGCATTTATATAAGAACAGTTGTAACTAGGAGTGTTTTAAGCTTTCCACAGGGGAAGTTTTTTAACACAGGTTATAAATAATAGGGGAATTTTCTGCCTAGCAAAAAGAAATTCAGGAAGGTAACAACTTCTGCATCACAAACTGTTAGAGGCAGCCCAGCAGCAGCCACTCAGACCTGTACCAGAAATCAGGATTGTCCAACAGGCATTTCCCAGAAATTAGTTCCCTTCCAATTTTGGACTAAGTGTAATGACTGTAAGATTGCAATACGCTTATTTTGCTGTGCACTAATTCTCTTTATTCCCCAGGTCACATCTAGCCAAGAAAGAACTCAGCTAGTCCCAGTTCCAAAGGCAGCCTGACATTGAGGAATACCACTAGTGGAATTACAAGTAGAAAAGTGTAAGTCTCAGTTAAGGAATAAGAGGACACAGGCTTGGCCCCAAACTGGTCTCCTGAGGGAACAAGAGGGAACAGAATGACTAGAGGTTGTTTACAATCACTGTCTTTGCAGCACCACTAGTAAGAGCTCGGGAAAAGGAGCCAGAGCACACCAGGGGCATGTTTGGTACGAGGCACTCATTTGGGTCAAATGATATAAACAAATATGTATGTGTGTCAAAGTCATGACTCTGATTTAAGCATCATCTAGCTTTCACTTTATTCTGTGAAACTGGGCTCTTCTTGACTCCAGCCACTTACAGGAAAGAGGCTGCATGATGCCTAAAACTTCAGCCTTTCATTTTCTCTTCTGTATTTTAAGGTTCTCACAAACTGACAGGATGTTTCAACAAGCCAAATACATGAGTTAACTTACTGCCACTTGTGTATCAAGGATTTCAAAAAGACCACTAGAGTGTGACAACATCCTGGAGCATTTGGTTTTGATCTTGGGCTAAGTTTGTGTGATGTGGTGTATTGGTCTGTGGTGGCAGGTGAACACCAAACCCCCTCATGCAGGTACAAACACTCTCAGCTGCTCCATATCAGACAGGGATTTTTGAGAGCTCATTAACAGTCTGGTAAATAGTAACTTACCTTTAAACAAGAGTAGCTGCAGCCTGCCCTTTTTTGGAAGTTTCATTTCCCCAACCTCTAATATTTCAGGCCAGCAGTACAATGTAATAAAAAGCAAAGTGGAGAAAAACAAGCTTCTTTTGGATATGTAACTATTATTGTTTACTCATGACTTCATCAAAGCAGTGAAGAAAAGACAAAAATCTCAGAAGAGCTTCTTTCACACAGACTCTCACCATCCCTTTTTGCAGCAACTGTGCAGGCAAGGAAAATGTGTGACTCCGTATTTATTTATTTTAGTTGTGCTCAGAGTTTTACAGGTAGCATCTTCCCTTTAGACCTTCTCAACAGAAATATAAAAAAGTTTGAAGCCATTTCCCCATTTCCACACTCATCTCCAAAAATCAACTGGGTGAAATGCAGAAACATCTTTTGTTAACAGAGTGGTGAGTTTGGCTTAGCCCAGTCTAGAGCTGTGCTTCCTGCTATGGCACAGACCTATTAGTTTGTAACTTAGAAAACCCAGTCCCAGAGTCCTGAAACTCCCACCTACTCAACAGGAAACAAATATCTTCTCTAGCAGTGACAGGGACATTCCTGGTAGCTGACACCGTGCAGGAGAAAACTTCCTGCAGCTTGAGTGAGCTGGACCTTCTGCAGAAACTGGGCACCCAATCTGTGTTCAGGGGATGGAGAGGAGGCAGGGAACAAACTCTTCAAGGCAGAACAGACTCTTCAAGTAAGTACTGCACGTCCTGGTGGACATGCCTGTCTTAGCAGACGGCTGTGGCATGAGGCACTTCGGTCATGGCTGTAGGGAACTGTCCCAGTTCCATCAACAGAATCACAGGTAAATGTGTTCTCTTTCCTGTGAGAAGTCCCTGAGTTGCAGATCTAAAGGATCTTCCCCCCAAACACACCTTGGTGTCACCAGACCACTGAAAGAAGGAGCTGAGCCAGGTCAGTAGCCTGCAGGGAAGCCCCCTTTCCGTGAGTCGGAGGCCGCAGCCCATCCGCGCTCCGTTCTGAGGATGGCCTGCACCACCGCGCCGCCGCTCACCCGCGCCGTGTCGTGCTTCCTCTTCTTCAGCTGCTGCTCTATGCCCTGCAATGCACAACTGGGTGAGCACAGCACAGAGGGAAACCTGTTGTGTGCACCTGCTGCACCTCCCACAACCACCCAGGTTCGGAGCCTGTGTCACACAGGGCTAAATCTGCATGTTGTTCCTCCTCTTCCCTTTGCTTTCTGGGATGCCCTACTTTTGAAGAAGTGGAATTCAGAAGATTTGATATTTGTGGTGCTCAGTGTGGGTTACCAATACTATTCTTGGTCACAGATATTCACACACTAACAGCCAGGACTGATGGATCCTGATTGGCAGTGGTGGAAAACACAGGACTTGCAGTGCTGACATCTCTACTGTGAATTTATTTTCAAGTCTGTTGCCATGTCCCTCTGGGCATCCCCCCTTGCTAGCTCTGGGCCAGGCTTTCCAGACTCATCGTGAGGTTACACAACAGGACAAGAATTCCCTGAGACTGACTGGATTTAGACTGCTGGATGGTCTGAGCCCTGATGAGTTTTGCTGTTTTGCAAGTCCTTTGTGCCCAACATCACTGCAAGCAGACGCTCAGTTTCAGATACAAGTCACTCTTCAATACACCAGCTTCACACCTGTGTGACTGAGACTAAAGGTACACTTTGAACAGCTTATTGTGACCCAGCACTAGACCAGTACCAGCTTTTCTACTGCTCACCTAGGAACATTTGGCCAAACCTGATGATTTTCCACAGTGCTTGCCTTCCCAGCACTAGGAACCCAGCCCATACAAGCTCATGTATGGCTCTAGTGAAACCAACCTCCTCTATTTGCTGCTCAAGCTCTGTGATATTGGGAAACAGCTGATCGTGAATTCTGGGCTCCTCCACTGCTTTCTTCACATCGTAACCAAACCAGATGGAATTCATGATTGTCTGTAAGAAGCAAAAAGCCTTAATGTAAATTACTTGTCTTCAAAGAAGTCTGACCCTTAGAGCCACACAGACAGAGGTGCCTCAAGAATATTCACCAGAGCACACAAAAGGCATTTCTGGTTTACATGGCTTTCAGTAGTTCTTCTCTTGGCTGAGCAGAACACAGGTACATTGCAGCTTGGATATGCTTAGGAGGATTCCCACACAAAGAAACCATGAGTGACTAAAATTAACACAGCAGAAGGATCAGATCCCTAAGCTGTGGTGGATGGATTTATGCTGCTGTAACTAAGCACACAACAGTCACCCTAACAAACACACCTACAGCTTCCTGCTATTGTACAACCAGTTCCCTTAGGCCTGGCTTATCTTACAGATTGAACTGCAGGCTGGAGCTGCTGGGAAGTGAGAACACTCAGAGTCCAGGGTTTAGGAAGTTGCTTGTAGTGGTTTTTACAGACTTCTCCTCTACCTCAGCCAAAAAGGCAGATCCAGCCTGCTGCTGCTGACACAGGGGACAGTCACTGCTGCATGGTTTGAGTGGCTGCCATGGCAGCTCACAGAGGCCCTGCCTGTCAGGCCTGACACCGTCAGGCTCATGGAGATCCAGAAAACAGAACTCAAAGCAAATCTTGTGCAGGTGGTAAGAGCAACTTTCCAGAGAAAACATCACTAAAAGAGGCAATTTAATAGCAGACCTTTTGTAGCCCTGGCAGGAGCTGATGTTGGAGGTCTGGCCCTCAGAATGCCAGGCAGGAGCCTCCTTTCCAAGCCCCTGGCCCCCAGCAGGGAGCCACAGCCATAATCCTGTCACAGGTGCAGATGGGGAGTTCCCCCAAATGCTGCATCTCCCATTTTACCTCGTGTTGTCCCCCATTTGCCCACACCATCACATACCAGTGCTGTTGCTGTAGTTATTTTTGTTCCTCCAGAAGCACCGACCACCATCCTCACCTTTTTCATTTTATCCACCAAAATGGAAGGGCACATAGAGGACATTGGCTGTT